TCCCAGCCTTTCTCTTCCCCTCTCCCACCTCCTTTTCCCAGTCTCCCCCAGTTTTGTTCAATAAAGACAGAATCAATGTTGTAAGAAACGTTATCTTTATTTTGTACATCAATAAGAAGGGGGGCTAGGGAAGGGTAAGTGGAAGGAGGTGAGGGAGGAATGGGGTATGAGCCCCCGATGGGGAGGACTGGGCTGGCTCTGCGGGCTTCTGGGGGTGGAAGCTCTCCCGCAGCCCCCCAATTGCCCCCTCTCCCCAGATGGCAGCCTGCGGCAAATGCAGCCGGGCTGATGGCCGAGTGGTGTGATGTGCCCAGTGTGGGCACTCCGGGCACTCCAAGCCAGGACTGCTTTGCAAGCGGGGCACCCCTGACAACTGTCTGTCCAGGGTGGGGGTCGGGTCCCTTTAAGCGCAGCCCTCGGCTAGCCTGAGACAGCATCTCCACGATCTAAGTCCTCCTCTGATGCCCTGCTGGCACTGCTTCCAGCCATCCTTAAGCCCTGTTCAGGGTCCACTCAATGTGGACATGCTAGTTCGAATTAGCAAAACGCTAATTTGAACTAGTTTTTAGTTCTAGACGCATTAGTTCGAATTAGCTTAGTTCGAATTAACTAATTCGAACTAAGTTAGTTCGAACTAACTCTGTAGTGTAGACGTACCCTCTTTGTGGCTGAGTTGTTTTCCTCATATGTCCTGCTTTCCCTGCTGTTGTGGTGGTGCCCCCGGAGTAACATTCCCTCTGGGAACTTGGCCCTTTTGACTCTAGTTCCACTGTTTGAGATACCATTCCCATGTCAATTCTGAGTTCATATCCTTAATCTGGAGCAGAGATAGTATTTATTTTTCTAAATTCCAAGATAGGAAAAAAATTGGTTGCCTGAAAAAATTGTCTATTTCAAACATTAAAATACAAAGATAGTTAATTGCATAATCCGGTATTAAGAAGAAAAGGTTTGTATGTAGAAAGTGAGGAGTCTACCAGACTAACAGAATCTGTTAATTTGTAAAAAACTCATGGTGCTTTTTGATTAAATTTAGAAGAAAGATTAACACAGGAGGAGGAACATAACAATGTAGCTTGATAGGAAGTGGATTTCAAACATTAAAATACAAAGATAGTTAATTGCATAATCCGGTATTAAGAAGAAAAGGTTTGTATGTAGAAAGTGAGGAGTCTACCAGACTAACAGAATCTGTTAATTTGTAAAAAACTCATGGTGCTTTTTGATTAAATTTAGAAGAAAGATTAACACAGGAGGAGGAACATAACAATGTAGCTTGATAGGAAGTGG